CCTCCTGCGTCGGTTTTTGCTTAGTCGAAATTGCTAACGTTTCGCCAATCATCTTGTTGACTTCTTCAGAGCTTTACTGACTGACTGACGTCAGCAATTTCGACTAAGCAAAAACCCACGCAGCGGGAATCCAGAAGTTTTGTAAAAAGCATTACAGTGGAAGTGTCGAAGTTTCTTTGAAAAATCAAGTTAAACTTATTTATTGTGTCAATATAGAGTCCAACATTTTCAATACTTTTTTTTGGAATATTCATTATAAAGTCGATAAGTTGTTATCAAATAAATTTGTGCTACATGTTGACAACAAATAAAATTTATTTCATCTTTCATATCTGCGACGACTATCGTATATCGCGGAAAACACAATTTTTAACAATACTAAACTCCGAAAAAAAAAACTGAGATTTTTTGAGCGATTTGCTTAAGACTAAAAAGTTATACTCTTTTTTGTTCTTCTTCGGGTGGTATAATGCAAAATTTTTGGATTTTTCGTCAGCTACATAGGTGATCTGAAATTAGTAACAACAAGTAATATTTATATATTTTTTTCTTCCCACTAAGTTAACTCACAGCGACAAGTCATTACCCTGCTAATATCTATTAATCACTTATTTATGGGTCCATTTACTTAATAGAAAAATCACCCCAAAATAGCTAAATTATTAGGTTTAATTAGGTTGCATAAGTCTTATTAATATTTAAGGTAAACTCATTGGTTGAGGGGAATGTTGTCATGTAATTACTACATCTCGGAAGTTTGCGAAGCACGTGTAACTCCCTATAGTCAGCTGTCGCTTTGTTCCACATTCTAGAACTTACGGGGCAACCAGATATCACATAGTTTAGGCTCTTGTTGAATCGTATTTTAAGTTCTGCCATCAAATTACCGTTAAAAAATAACTTTATATAATTAATTCATTTACATAGTATTTTCCTGCACGAGTTGCACAGTGATGAATTTTAATTACTTTAAACATCAATTAAAAGTTCATATAAATATTAAATAAATAAAATAGTTATTTTAAGAGAATTTTGGTTCTTTAGCTTATTATGATTTTTGTTTTATGTGGATTTGATATCTTTTAATATTACTAAATTTGAACACTCTTATTTCATTTTTTTCTTTTGTATATTTGTCTATTGTCCATTTCTATAGTGAAACAGTACCAATTTTTTAAGGCCCTAATGTCAGCGTTTCCTTTAAAATCCCTGAAAATTTTATAAAAGTTTAACACCTATATTATAAATCATGTTTGTTTGAAGGAAGGTTTTCTGGTTTCTTTGGCCATCGAGAAACTATACTTCAACATTATTATCTCACGTTTCTCTAATCGCCATTTGGAAGCAAGCCTTGGTAAACAAATATTTTGTTTGTAATAGCGTGGCAAACCTTTTTAATGTGACTAATTTCGCAGATGTAATTTTCCCACATATTCCGACACGATTATTTCAGGGCTACAAATTACTTTCCAGACGGCCGTAAAGTGCACTTTGGTTGTCGACGAAACACCGCCCTCTAATAAGAATTGCGAAGCGGATTAAAACTAAATCTGAATTGATTTCCAGCTTAACTTGGATAAAGCGCTTTTATTGTGATTTTACATGAAAAATTCCTTGGTAATTTCATGGAAATGTGGAATCTTAAAGTGGAAGAGAAATTGGGTATTCCTGAATTTTTAATGTTTTATTTTACTCCGCAGGATATAGGAATAATTTCGAGTTTTCGACATTCGTTGTAAACCGGCGTGCATTTTTTCTGGAAAATGGTGTTTGATTATTTAATGGTGCTAATACTTTTCTGGTTTTGAAATAACTGCAAAATAGTGCAGTTATTTACCCGAAGCAAGTGGAAAATACAATGAAAAACATCTGAAAAATATTTGGGTTTAAAAATTCAAATTATTTTGTCTAATTTCTATTTATTGGTATGAATAGTTTCGAGAATATATTTTAAACACTTCTGATATTTGGTTGTATTTTTCACAACAACAGTACTTAACTACCGTAAAAATAGAAAATTAAAGAGATATGCTTTGTATTTGGAATACTTCTTATGTGTTTCATATTGTTAACAAGCTCATACTAATATTTCAAAGAAACTTCCACAGGCTACTGTAATGCTTTTTACAAAACTTCTGGATTTCTCCTGCGTCGTTTTTTGCTTAGTCGAAATTGCTGACGTTTCGCCAATCATCCTGTTGGCTTCTTCAAAGCCAGTTTCAGTCAAGATCTGAAGAAGCCAACAGGATAATTGGCGAAACGTCAGCAATTTCGACTAAGCAAAAGCCGACGCAGGAGGAATCCAGAAGTTTTGTAAAAAGCTCATACTAAGCCTAACAAAATTATTAAGAGAGTATTAGATCTAGACCCCTTTCCGCAACGAATCACCACTTCGACTTGATGTTTATTTTGACATGGTGTCATAACAATATTGTTCATGTATTGATAATTACTCGGTGCTAGCAGATATAGAGGGTATGTAAAAAAACACACAGACAAATTTAGGTTGAATATCAATATTTGTGAGTTTCAAAAGAAAGCTAACTACGCCACTAAATTATACGTAAAAAAGTCGCAACATTAATAAGGGACGCCGTAAAACCAGACCCTCTACATTTTCACTTTAAATTTGATTCCAAAAAATTTTGTTCACTATGTACTTATTAAAAGTTTGATCGAGGATTTCAGGATGTAATTTTGCGGATACAATTCATATAAATCAAATCGGAAAATAATGTGTTTACTTAAAGTGTAGTATGTAACACGTTGATACAGTTACTGGTTTATTAAGAACTCGTTCCGCTGGTGTCAAATCCCACTGTGACTAAAGTGGTTTTTATCAAACTTGTTACACAAAAAAGAACTGGGCAATTTTGTTTTAAATTTTATGAAAAATGTGTGTTTATATATAAAAACGCATTACACCAAATATGAACCCTTAAATCGCAATACTTATTTCACAATAAATAAATAATTAAAATTGGAATCGCCGCCGCTGCATCGTTACTCTCGGTTTTTAAGTATTTAATATTCAAGTTTTGTATTCATTATGGAGACTACTTGTTGTAAATACTGTATCATTCTTTTTTGTATGAGTTCAACTGTGCAAAAATCCAGATACGATTTTCATTTATGACTAAAAGCAGGCAGATTCTGCATTGCAGAAGAGGTGTAGGGGAATACTGTTCTAGTGAAAATCGTTTCAATGAAAATGATGGTGACAGTGACTTTTTGATAACACTTAGTGATGCTCGTAGTAGTAGTAGTCATAGAGAAGTGAGTGAACAATTTTGTGATGAAAAGAAAAAGATAATTAAAGTATCTCTCTACAGCAATGAAGGTGCAAAATATGCCTAGGTTATCCTTGGGATTAGCTGATGATGCTTATTATGTATTCCATTTGCTCCTCCGCGAGCTTCAGCTTTTTAACGTATGATGCGGTCATAAATATTTTTAAATAAATTGTTTGATCGTCCTTTTATAAAACCCGCATTAACCGTTTTCAGTGACTAATAGGACCACTATTTTTTTACGTGTTATTTCAATGTCTCTATATGTGCGCGCCTAGATCGAAATACAACGATATGACGTCACAACCAATGGCAAGCGCGTTTTAAGAGCAGGCAAAATTTAAACCTTTATTTTTCAAAACTACTTTTTGATATATCTTATGATTTTTATTGTTTTTAAAGTTCTCTGTTGTAGCAAAAATGACATTTCATAACTTACCTAGATTATGAAATACCATGGACAATTAGATGCGTTCAAACTTTTTTTTTCAAAAGAATGACTTAATGATAAATGCTAGAGGCTTTCTGCATAAACTTGAAAGTGCAATCGCAATTGTTAAAGAAAAGGCCTATGGTTTAAAATAATTATGCAGGGATACTTTTCTTTATTAAATATACGGAATATTTTTTCTCATTCAATAGCAAAATTTAAAAAAGTAAGAAATTTTTAGGGCACCCAGTTAAAAATATACCAAGTTATGAGGAACGTCTAGTCTATTCATTATTTCGGAAATATACGACTCATATATCAGCAATATTTTGCACATATCAAAGAGAATACGCTGACTGAGGCGAGGAGCCGAGAGCTTTCAATGTATTGCTTATAAAGCATAACTTCCCCAAGACTGAAAGCACTGCCATAACCACTGGAAATTTCTTAAACATGAGAACCTAAATGCATTTTTATTCCATTTTACTTCCGTTTGCTATATAGCAAGGGTAAAGAAATGCGCCCGAACTCCTGAATTCGTTATCTGCTCCCCTTGTTATGAAGATAACATAATATAAAATTGACTGAAGAGATTACAAAGTATTCTTTTGTACGGCAGCTTTGCGTGCTTCAGGTTTAGTGCGATTACGTTCTTTACCTTTGTTATGAGGGCAAATTGTTCTTTCAATAAACTACGAATAATGCATTGTCGACCGGCCGGGTAATATGGTTGGATTTTTTTTCTATGCCTGTTAATAGGTTATTTAAAAAAAATCAATTATCTTTAAACTAAAATGGACGCCAATTTCTTTGCAAACAATATCAGTAAGGTGCATCACTTACGATGTTTTTCGTTTGTTTGTTTGAGTTATGAAAATATGTTTTGATTAATAAATTTTCATAAAATTCTACCCTTGCACAGATTGTCCTGAAAGTACTAAAAGTACAAAAAACATGTGCTTATTTAATTTTCATACGTACATTAGAGCAATCTTATGTCTGTTATAATACGGGTTTTCTAAATTTGAATCTTTTAGAGAGGGCTTAGACTAGAAACCCGTAACCAGTACACACGCACCAAACAAGTTTTATAAACACCCTGAGATAATAGCCTATTACATTCTTCTGAATCAGTGTCGTTTTGTTTGCATTTCTTTTCTTTGAAAAACTAATTTGTTAAGTTTAGTCCTTAACTGTGCATATTGCAGCAGCAGCATATATATGCGTTTATCTGAATACTACATATTTTTAATACAGGAAATTAAATTCGGTTTATTTACCTGTATAACGGTTCCCCGATCGTTTCTTTGAACCACAACACCATAGCCACCGTATCGTCTCTTTTCGCAGGAGATATATTACACGGAAGTCCTTTCTTTTTTCCCAACACTCCATGAGCTTCTTCCATTGGAACTGAAAAAAATTATATCAAATTAGAAAAAATGTTCTTGCAGCTTTCTTGTGTATTTTATTAATAATAGCTACCTTAGACAAGTAACCAACCAAAATCAACATAAATATAGAGTTTTACCACAACCTTTAAGCTCAAATACCTTTTTTGTGGGTAGGTAATAATCTAGCTAATCAAAAGAATTTTAATTCTGAACAGTCTGCTTATTGTTAACAATTTTAAAATTTTCAAAATGTAATTTTGCATTGTTATTAATTAATTCTTGTTCGAGTCGATTTTTCCACTGATGACTTGCAGAGTTGTGAAATTTCAGCAATAAAATTAGCAGGATTTTATCCCATACCTATCCAGGCTGAAATCCTAGGGAAACCCCATGACATCCCGGGGCATCCCAGAAAATTGTGATGTGTATATGATAAAAATTTTAATAACGTTAATGTATTAATTTAAGAGATATTTAAAAAATAATTATTAACAATTTTATGTTGAAAATTACTGTCTATATTGTAAAAATGCCATTTTCAATGAAACGAAAAAACAAAAAAAATGTCAATATAAAAAAATTCAATTATTGAAAATACAAGAAAAATGAAATAAATAGTAAATAAGATGCCACGGCGGTATATCAGAGCAAAGTTTGGTTAGGTGTCACTAAGATAAATCATAAAATGATGCTTAATTTTAAGATCATTTGTTCGTGTAAATCGTAATCATATTGTTTCCAAATCTACCAGAATAATTATAATGTTCTCTGACTTTTTATAAATAAATTTACTATTTTTGAGTCAAGTCCTAATTTTGTGCGTTTCCATCTCGTCCTATGGAAATGCCCAGAAATCCAGCTCTCGTTATCTTAGAATTACGAAAATAATTTTACATTGTTTAAGAAAATAAGAAAGTGAACCGAAATTTTCCTATTTTAAATTCCTCAACGAGCAAATTTCTTGAAATTGCGTAAGAAAGCTATTAATCTTTTTAAAGATTCGCGACGTCGAAATCCATTAAAACCACCTAGATTTAATAATTTTTTCGAACGTGATTCTACATAAATTAGGAGGCTTTCAAATTACTTAGCGATAAAAAACGTTCGAGATTGTTAAAAACGTACCTAATTCCCCGTTAAATGCAAATAGGACCATCGATTTTATGAATTCCCTTTTATTACCTGTCGAGACGAATAAAAAAATTGTTTCTCTCAAAGGACTTTTCCAAGGAATTTTCCAGAATACCGTGGAGGATAGTAACAGCGCCTTAATATTATATCTACCTTGGATATGGTTTATCTATTTAACGAGAATGCCACCGTAAGGTTTTTTTTATTAATCTTGTTTATGATTATAAATAAGCGTACGCTATTGCATTGAAACTCTTTTGAAATATTCACGAACACATTCATTTTTCTAAAGAAACCTCTATTAATAGCAGCTGTATCATATCAACTTAATAAAAAATGGAACATTGTTGGGCTTTTGGAGGGATGAAAGTAGTAGATTGTGGCATGTGATTATTGTTAACTGAACATTGATATTTATTTAAAAGACAAAATCAACAAAATGAGCAAAATATTAAATTCAGCTAGCCATGTGCAGTGTGTCCATTTTTCGTTGTTATTACAGCTATTATAGATAGATGCTACGATACAGGGTAAAACAGAAAATTTGGTCCTTTCAGTTAACCATTGTATTTTAAACAACTTGTACAGTAATGAGATGATGAAAACAGAATCTCTCAATTTTTTTGTAGATATCATTTTTAAGATACAGAACACCCTCTATATTTTGCATTTTTCAATGCGCTTTAAAACTCTTTAAAAAAATGTATAACTGTCTAGATATCCTTTTTTAAATAACCACACATGTTGATATTTTTGAAAAACTTTTGTTTTATCGTAATTTTATTAAAAATTTTAATTAATAAATTTTTAAAAATACAAATCGACGAATTCAAACATCAGGAAATATTAAAAAACCGATCAAACTGATTTCATATTGGCATATATATAGTATATTTTTTTAAAAGTCAAAATAGGATTATTTAAATAAGTGTATAGAAAGGGCTATTAATTAAACACTATATACAGTGAGTGTTCTATTAAAAAATAAATGACATATATACGTATACATATATATATATATATATATATATATATATATATATATATATATATATATATATATATATATATATATATATATATATATATATATATATATATATATATATATATATATATATATATATATATATATATATATATATATATATATATATATATATATATATATATATATATATATATATATATATATATATATATATATATATATATATATATATATATATATATATATATATATATATATATATATATATATATATATATATATATATATATATATATATATATATATATATATATATATGGAATCCTGCAAATCTTGCATCCGACTGGAATCCTGCAGACGTTTCGCCAAAATCTCACTTGGCATCTTCAATGCTCGCGCTCCGAGTGTTCGAAGTGTTTTCGGAGCGCGAGCATTGAAGATGCCAAGTGAGATTTTGGCGAAACGTCTGCAGGATTCCAGTCGGATGCAAGATTTGCAGGATTCCAGTCGGATGCAGGATTCCAGTCGGAGTTCAACGAGCGAACGGATGATATCCCGGAATATAGTGTCATCATATATATATATATATATATATATATATATATATATATATATATATATATATATATATACTAAAAACACTGTTACGTACAAATATTTATAAGATTCTAAAATTGCGAAGTTTTCTGTATCACTCTGTAGCTAAGATGGTTTTGGAAAAAAATCCTTTGTTTTACGAAAATTGAGTATGGTATTGCGCAAAATTGCGACACACTGTACATTCTTTTTCCTAATACTGAAGCGTCACAAGAAACAGCCCTACTCTCCAACTCTGAGCGTTCAGGAAGGAGCCTTTCCGAACATCCCCAAAAATACAGCAACGTGCGACTTGTCAGGAAAATGTACAATAATCATAATAAAGCAGATCAAGCAGGACACAATAGGAGTATGGAAAGTGCACATAAAAATTAAAAAATGTGTTAGATTTGATACGTTTGAATGTATAGATAGAGATAGTGATAGTAGCGAACTAGTGGAAGCTAAGAAAAACAAATATGTTTAGTACGCAGATATTCATAAAGAAACCCTTGGTTTTGCGGCTTAAATAATGAAAAAAAAATTTTTTCAAATTTTATTACTATTGAAATCAATGAATCTTTCGAATAAACGACGGACTTATTTAGAATGTCAAGAAATTTCTCAAATAACAAATACCTAATTATACACTGATCTAGCGTGCGGAAAGCGCCACTTTACCATGTGAGTTTCTTGCCCAACGGATCCGAGTCCCGGACATTTCCGGGATATTACTCCACGGCTTGAATTTTGAGGTTTGTCAATTCGACGGTCGTGTCAGTGAATGTATTCATATTGTTTTCCAAAAAGCACTGTTTACAACCTAGGGACAGAGGCATTGAACATTGGCAGTAAAGCCTTGTGGACACGTCATCTTTTAAGTTCAAAATTATTATATAAATAAAAGAATTTAAACTGCCATTACTAAATTCTAAAACGAAGCAATGTCACCAAAGATTTAGTTATTATAAAATACTAATTAACATCTAGTAAAAGCTAACTAACTACCTAACTAACCAAAACTAATATTACACGTATGATCAGTTTTGACTGCATGTGCTGTTATAAGTTGGGGAGATCTCGATACGAGCATACAATTTTTAATATTTTATGATAATGTGACGAAATTTAATTTTCTTGTGTACACCTCTATTCAATATAACTAACTAAACACCACAATTAATTCACTGTGCGACAATTATAACTTTCTTCCCTAATTTTTGCAAAAAAACAGCCTAACCAACGTCAATTAACAATCTAGTGCGGCGATCTTTTATAGTTTATGGCGTCGTTATACGACGTCATTAAACTATTACCCTATTATCGCGAAAACGTTGCGTGATTCAAACTCAACTTTAGGATCGTGACAAAATTATTATAATAAAAATTTGGACTGTGAAATTTTGAGAGAGATTAACTCTGGTAATTTAAAATCGATCAATATTAAAAATGTTAAGTATTAGTAATACAAAAGCTAAACTACGTTTAATCTTCCTAATGTCAATATAGTGTTGAAAAGTTTAAATAGATAGACGTATTACTCTGGGGTCACGTAATTGATTTTAAAATTTAATATTGGACTTGTATCTAAAATAAGAAAATTTCATTTTCTAAAAGACCGGAACAACACCTAACCTTCCGCCTCCGATCGTTAAAGCCAAACAGATTATCTAAATTGGTTACTTTGCAAACATTATAATTGGAAAAGTTATATGCTCCATTTGGAGAACGGATTGTGTGTTCTGTAGTTGTACCATGAGATTAATAGAATAAGATTAGATGTGATCCGGAGCAAATCAACTCTAAAATTTTAAATTAACTTAAAGCTTATACATTATTAGCAAGTTTCGAAATAAATCCAATATCGGGAGGAATTTTGAGTAGTTTGTTTTCGGAAAACTTTCCGATGCGATGTAGATACTAGAAAATCTGCTTTTGTAGAAAATACGCGAATGTTGTTAATCTGATCAGCTCGCAAGTGAGTCTTAATTTCACAAAATTGTTTGTTTTAACAGACATGATTATTGGCATGTAAATAATGGTGTCGGGTGTGAACCCTACCCCCCCACCATTTTTTATTGAATCCTTTTCTCTGAATCAGGTTTGTCAGTTTGGTATAACACAGGCAATCGTCACTGATCTTATGTTGTTTACATTAATAGCCTTCGGGATAAACTAAAAATTGCTTTAATTAAATCAAAAGAGTTTTTGATACTTCTAAGTATAGTATGAATACAAAAAAAACTCACTAAAGCGCTTTTTCTCTTACTATGGCAAGTCGACCTCATTATAACTCAATTCAATTCGGCATTATTGATCCT